TAATGTTTTGAAATTTCATTGATCTGGCATGTAGGTGGAGCCAAGTGTGTAGCAATGTAGGGCAACAGGTCATTGAACTGTCAGAGTCGCTTATACTCTGCCGGTACTATAGGGAATAGATCGTAACTAAATCAACCCTTGAACATTTAATTCATAAGCGCTGGGAAGTGTCGCGGCACGCTACGCATTCGAGGCGAAGGATATAGGGAGATATCGCGGACGCGATTCACTTAATCCAATTATCTGACGAATCGGATAATATTTTTGGCAGAGTCGCGATTTGACACTTTTCATAGCGACAGACACCAAGTAGTAGCGCGTTGAGCAAGGCGAGATAGGAAACATCATCGCAGCGACTGAAGAGCGAAGGCGTCGTGGGACGTGGGGTATCGGACGCTTCTTCGACTGAAATTCATTCGGGAAGGTCCTGAATGCGCGCGAAGATCTCAAGTAAGCAACGAAAATTTCAATTGATTTATACAAAAAAAATTACAGTGATCAGCACTGATTTTTAATATAAATAGATATCATTAGGCGATGTTATTCATTTAACTGCAATAAATTTTCTGTTATTTTTAAGAAAGGCTGATTGATTATATTAAATTGCAATCAAACAATTCCTTCATTCAAACAGAAACTTCCAGAAATCGCTGATCCGTACGGACAATTCATCTGCATACGATCAGATAGCTATAATTTCATTTCGAATATCGATGACCACAGGTAAAGAAACGTTTCAAAAGTAAAAGTTATTGAAATCAATGATCTGTAATCGGGTTTGCTTAATTGGCATGCTAATTGTGGGGCAGATTTAATTAAAAATATTAAACAGAAAATATATTGAAGTTCGTTTCTGTAAAAACTGTCTAACAAAATCAAACCTATAAATAATCGTGTAATATAATTCAAAATAAAATCCAATACGATTTGCAAATCCGGATATGAAATATAAGTAAAATATAATATTCTACGACCAATTTATCAAAATAGTTTTATTTTAAAAGTTGACGTTTCGAACATGTTTTTGATCCTCGTCAGAACAATCTACAAATAAGAAGTACTTGTAATATTACTTATTATAATAGAGTGTTCAGTGTGGAGATTGAAACAAAACGTGTACCCAAAAGGACCTTGATTTGTTCCATTGATCCATTGCGAATGATCTCAGTTTTGTTGTTTCACTTCATATACATTTTCAGATGGTGATGGAGGTGTGAGGGGGAACCCCCACGCGGGTCAACTACATTCTCAGACTTCTTAATTCTAAATGCACCAGAAACAATATGTCTTTGACATCATGACAAGAAAATTTCTCAATAAAGGAATTTCTCAATTTCTCGTAAGCGAATTTGGCGAAATGGAAAGTAAAATGATTTCTGTGAAGTTAATCTCCAATATTTTCAAGTCAAATGTCCATTCGTCGAGTTACAGCAGACAATTTTCTAGCAGCTGCATTGACAATAATTAACATGAATCATAATAAATTATTATTATTAATATTATTATTATTATTATTATTCAGTTTAGATATATAGCGAGGCTCGGCATATCTAACCCGCTTTTCGCCTAACCAAATGCGTCGGTGTGTAGAGAGATTTTTATAAGAAGGGATTGCTTTGACAGCTTGGCTGCTGACTACATAACTGCGGGCTAAGAACACTAACTCAATGCGTTCGTTTAGTTAGCTCATTAATAAATGGTTTTCATCACCATCCCTTGTAATGCCATCGTTCTATATGATATTAAATCGTTTCGCGACCTGTAAAACTGGTCCCGTCCTATAGTAACTCGTCTATTCAACGAAAGTGATGCATCACAAAAACTGTCATTTTGAGCCAGGTGAATAATTAGATTTAATAATCTCAAAGATTACTCATACAACATCCCGTTTATAAAGTAAAGTAAAACGCTACATTTGGGCAGGATATATACTTTTCCACCCATAAGTTCGCTGAGCAAAATTACAACTTTTTATATTTATCACTTATCTTGTGCACTGACGATATAAGAAAACGTATAAATATAATATTGCAAATTGACAGAGTGCCTGCTAATATAAATGTTATTTAACAAACAACTTTGAACCGCGAGTAATCAGATTTGTTATTATTTAACGTCAATAAACACATAGAAACTGTGTGACGTAAGTGGGAGAATAAAAAAGGGGAGTGGCAGATTGATTCATGATGTACCTATGCTCTTTTCTCCAGTGTCGAGTGACGAATGTGGCAGATACTGTTTTGAAATCGCCAGTGCATGAAAAAGTGGCATCTCACAAATTGCCACTTGGTGGTAGCACTGAACTGTTTATTTAACGTAGAAAAACAAAATGTTTTGCTCTATACACAGGCTGTTTTGTAAACTATCGCTATGATAATTGAACTAGTACAAAGTTTTTATTTTGAAAACATTGTACTTAATTTTACTAACAAATGACCGGTTTCCGAGATTCGCCACTTTTCTCAAGTATCGGCATACGACTTTCTGAACTATTAACACACGAAGTTTCAGATATTACATCTAAGACAATTATTCTGCATTCTACGAGTCCCCTAGGACTCGATATATGCCAGAGACACACCGACGTCAGCCGCAAGTCCCGTAAACGGACCTGTACCTCGGCACCGGATCTCGCCATCCAGCGGGGGTGCAACACCACTACCTCCAGACCCAGAATTCATTACACTAACGGGACTAATGACCATGGCAGTTAACGTGCCCAGAAATGTCAGTTATTCAATAAATATTTTGATTTAGACCGCGTATTTCGTGTACGAATTGTGAAACGTACTTTTTCTTTGACTTTCTATCTCTCTGACTACAAGGAGTGTGGTTGACTTCACCTCATAGGGTTTGGTGTTGTCTAGCGAGGCGCTGGGGAGATTACCCCCTCCTACCACCCACAATTATTTTCAATATTTCATTTCTTTTCTAGCTTCATTCGTAGGCGTGCCCAATATAAAACAAGAGGAGGGGTCAATTCTTTTCTGGGCCCCTTTACCCATTTGTTATTTTTATTTACATCTTACTTTTTACTTATATAAAACTGTTCAGAATATTTACGAATTTTTAACATATATTTTGGGTGTTTGTAGAAACAATCGTCTTTGGCTACCCCACATTTTTTCGGGGTAGTTCTGTGTGCTTTTAGATATCTTTAATCCATCTTTTGGGGGGGGCGAATTTTTAGGGGTTGTTCGAGACCAATTAGCCACCTGCAAAGAGTAAATTCAGAAGTTTCTTGGCATTTTTGCCTTCAAAATATGTGATTATTTTTGCAATTTAAGTAGAGCGTTTTTGCAAAAATTAAAAATTCACGAATAAAAAAAAATTATTGAAAAATAAGGAGTCGAAGTGTTCATGACTACAGTACAAGTGCTGACTTCTACAATTAATTAAAACGCCGAAATGTTTCACATTTTGTATTCATACGCAATAATGCACATTCACAGATTCTGTAACACTATCCCGTAAAATATATGCCCGTATATTTGACTTCAACGTAAATTTTAAAATGTATCAAAACGTTGTGTTCATTTCCATCAGCCATACATTTTTAATATATTTTTATTCGCAATTTTCTTTATTGCAACAATACTAGGCAAATATGTCGACACATCTATATTGACATGTGGGGAAAAAACCTCTACGCTTAAAGGTCGTTCATTGATTTTTTTTACTGATAAAGGAACACATATTGACGGAAATAACATGATTTATTACGTAAGGTGACGGGACCCTTTTTATATTTTTAAAAGGCCACGCCCCCCTCCCGCCTGCCTGTTCGCAGACCTTCGGTTTTATTCTAATTTATTATTTATCTTTTTACTAACGACACAGACAAACACTGATATTGATTCGTTTTATTACTTTTACACTGAGAAACAAAACCATAGTATGCGCAGATGAGTTTCGTCGTCTTTCGTTAGTCAAATTGTTTTAATGTGCAAGAAATCAATATTATATGAAGATGCTCCGAATCTGGCATGTTCAAGAATGGCTACCGGGAGGAGTGGATGCATTTCTGTATCTAACAAATAGTGGCAATTTTTGAAACGCCCCTTGAAAATTGAGAGATCCCAGACCTTTACGTAATGAAACATGTTATGTCGGTAAATATGTTGAATCCCTGATTTTGTCCCTTTTAACAAGGCAAATGGGAGCAATATTACATAGCACTTTGGAAAAAGACTCTTCAAGGGAAAAGAGGGTCCAGAAATGAAGTCCCCCCCCCCCCATCCTGTTTTACACTGCGCACGTTTTTGATCAAGCACTTTACTTCCCACCTCAATCTCTGCCACCTTCATCACGCATGCCATTTCAGTGGCTGCCGTCATATCCTAGGCTTTCAGTTTCAATACACTAGTATTATTAAATAATTCACACTGCTTTCTTTCGTGTGCCCTGCCACCCCTCATAAAAAAGCCAGAGATGCCAGAGATCTAAATTTATTAATGGGACGTGGTAGTAAAAAAATGTGATTCCACATCTAATAGTAGACGTGGTATGTATGTGACCTAACATCAATTATTTGTTGGCCAGTTCTCTCCACGATGTATGTTTATACACACATAGTTTCCCGTAGGTTGATTTGTAATTATTGTCCGTACTTGCAGCATTATCCCTTACATATTTAAAAAACCTAAAGAGAGGCACTTCACTTGAAGGAATCTACTGGGTAAAACACTGTAACAATACAATTCGCTTGAAGGGTGAAGATGCACGAAATGGAACGACTAGCCCTTTTTTGGCTAACAATTGGTTCAGTCGGCTGACAATTGGTTCAGACGGCTAACAATTGGTTCAGACGGCTAACAATTGGTTCAGACGGCTAACAATTGGTTCAGACAGCTAACAATTGGTTCAGACGGCTAACAATTGGTTCAGACGGCTAACAATTGGTTCTGTCGGCTAACAACAAACAGCTAACGTTTGAACCAAACAGCTTAGAATTAAACAGCAAGTCAGGTGAGCGGACAGAGCGGCCCGTCATCACTCACATGTGCGTGGCGGGCGAGGCAGCGGGCGCGGGCGGCGGCGCACAGCCAGCGCGGATCGCGGCGCAGCGACGCGTCGCCCGTGGGGTCGCGGGCGCACGCGGCGTCGGCACCCACCGCCGGGCCCCTCGGCGGAGGCGGCGCTGGCGCGTCTTCACCGCCGCTCCGCGCGGGCGCGGGCCGCCGGCTCGCGAGAAGCAGCGACAGCACCAGCAGCAGTCGCGGCCACGTCGACCGCATGGTGGCAGGCGGCGGGACGGCCGATACGGTCGCACGCAGCCGGCTCCACGTGCGCGCGGGCAAGAGGCGCAGTGTCGTCGCGGCTGCGGCAAAACAAATGACGGCGGCGGCGCGCGCGAACGGAGCACGTGGTCCGCGGGCGCCCGGCGGGAGCGACTTGAGCGAGGCGACGACGCGTTCCTCGGCGCGGAAGGCGCGCGGACGTCTGTCTAGCGCGCGGCCTGCGAACGGGTGAGGGGCCGCCAATGTGGCGCGGCGCGCGCGTCCCTCCCTCCCCTCCCCCCCACCTGCGCCGGCGCCACCGCCGCCGCTGCCCGCTAGGCCGCCCTGCCTCGCCCCACCCCGCCGGCCAGGGTGCGGCGCCGCTGCTTCCCGTTTGAAGGGGTGAGTTTCCGCAAGCGCGCGCCCCGCGGCGGCGGGCGGGCGCCAGGTAGACACGATGTGTCGCTTCACATTACAGAAGCATTCTGCTTGCCTTTCCGAAATTAAGTAACCACTGTCGGTGTCGTATGGGTGTCTAATTTGCGCGTATCGATTCGAATCTGCGGCATCAATAACACTAATCCATGATGAATAAAATCGATCAATTAATTCAATTGGGATATCACATCGATTTCGTGTTTACTTCCGCGCTGGGTACACTCACAGAGTTTCTTCACTTGTTAAACAAAAGTAACGTAACTGAATGGGAAAATATGCATTTTAAAGGAAAATAAACATTAAGAAGCATTGAAATAATTTGAAATATTTGGTTCAATTTGAAATGCCCGATTCCTTCGTTTAAAATATATATTTCAAATATCATATAGTTTGGATTTGTTCCTCTTCTTGAGTTCATAACAAAGAAGTTTACCATTGTAGTTCATATTTTGTAATGTGTATCCCGATGTAATAACTAATAATTCTGTCGTTGATACAACAAATAAAGTAATTGTTAACAACTTTCCCCGGTAGACCATAGTAAATTCATCTGAAGACGTGTTTTGTGGCCAATTATATTGCCGCTGCAGCCAATTATATTGACTTCTGTGTCTGTCAGATGCTGACTTCTTTCGCTCTGGCGCGCCCCCTTCATTGTGCGTCATTTTCTCTACCTATGCCGCCAAACCGAAGACCGTTTCGACAATACGCTCTTTCCTCGCGCGGAAATAAACGGAATTTGGAAGGAAAAGGGCAGGCGAGCGGCATCCGGTGGAATAATTTGCGTTAGTTCGGATGAGCATCCTCTTTGCAATTCTTACCCGCTACTTTTGTGTCTCGGTTTGTGCAGGTCTTGTATGGAGTACTGTTAAAACGCAGTTATTTTTTTTTAAATATTTACGTGATATTGAATTGTTCGTAGTATTAAGACAATAAATTTATTCAAGGGTGCCATTGAATCACTAAGTTATTCATTTTTTGAGACACATACCTTTAAATTGATTTCAACGTGAAACCAATGACGCGATATTTTGATGTTCCTTAAAAATGTTATTAAGCCAGTAATTGTCAAAAATGTATAAATTATCATTAACAATAGTGTCATTTTATTTTCGTTTCATAACTCCTTCTTTGGGTGTCGTTATGAAAGAATATTTATATAAAATCGAGACGAGAGAAAAAGTATGTAAGTATTTATTACGTTGTAAAGAAAAATACACTAATGTTTGCAATGATGTATAATGTTAAACAATTCCTTATATAATTTCCATACTTAAACAACCTTAAAATATCACCTTATTGGTATCACGATTAGTATTGGTATCATGACAACGCAAATAATTACATCTATTACTAGCGGCAGACGTTGTCCTGCTCCTCCCCCCCCCCCTCAGCCTCCCTCCCTCTCCGTCTGTTTCCGTCTCCCTCTGTCTCCATCTCTTTCTCTCCCTTTCCCGCTCTCTCTTTCGCGAACGCCACCTGTTCTGTCCTCCTTGGTCTCATCCTGCGTCACACGGCAACGCCCAGTAACAATAAAGCCCAAATTGAATTAAAATGAAGCGCTATCTTGTACTGCAGCGCCATGTAGTGGAGTTACAACAAAATTAACAGCATGAAATCCTTCTCGATGAAAAAACCCGTAGATGTATCAATTTTCATGGAGACTAGCCAAATATCGAAGTTCATCGCTCTTCACCAACATCCATGTATATACAGGATGTTCGGAGAGGAAATTTTAAACATATTTTGTCTAATAAACTATTTTGATATTTTGAATGACTGAGCCGCAATAAGCACTCAAAAGTTGGTTTGAACAAATTCTGTCTAGGAATACTCCAGAAGCATGTAAATTGTTCATTATTTACAAAAGAAACTAATATATGTTCAGAAAGTAAAATTAACACAAAACAAAAAGATAGTCAAATTGTGTATATTAGGTGTTTTTTTGTGTTAATTTTTCTTTCTGAACAAATATATTCATTTCTTTTGTAAATAATTTACAATTTACATGATGTAGTCCCGGGTTCAATTCCTGTCCGAGGAAAGAAGTTTTAGCTTTCCTTTAAAAATCGTTTGCTTCGATAGCTGTGAAAAGAAGCTCAGACACGCCGAGGTTTTTTAAAAAATAATTTTCATTTCACAATTTGTTATATTTGAAACATTCGGAGAAATTTTTAACGTATGGTTATAAATAATAACATACATATATAAAAGACATGGGGAAGATGTACCCTTTGGTGCATCTTCCGAATTCAAACATTAATTTTACCGTTACACGAAAATAGTTTTATGTGACAAATCTATATGTTTAATCTAATGTTTGTATCTTTTCAGTCTGCGTATTTCTTCGCTGTTGTCCAGGATGTAGACGGCTATGTGATTAGGGTGATTATGGTCTCTGTCATGGTATTTTCTGCTGTAGTTAGTCGCAGTTACGTACGTCGATGGAACCCGTAGGTCATTATGCAGAGTTTTATTAAAAATGTACCATGGTGCATTAGGTAGAAGTTTGGACTGAAATCTTTGTAGGATCTCTATGTTGGTTTAACTGGCAATGCCCCAAAGTTGGATGCGACAAGTCCATATAGGCTTAAGGATGGCTTTGTATATAATGATTTTATTTCGGAGGGAGAGAGGTGGGTTTCTACCTATTATCCAGTGAAGTTTATGTAATTTGATATCTAGTTCTTTTCACTTTGTTTCGATATGCGCTTTCCATGAGAGTCGCCGGTCTAGATGCATGCTCAAATATTTAACGGATTTTGCTTTTGGTAGGTACGTATTATTCATTTTGAAAGAGGAGCAGTTACTATTTCTTAGAGTGAATGTTACTTGAATAGGATTCGTTTGGTTTTAAACTTTCTTTTGTTTGTTTTTTTTTTTAATTCGGACAAAACAAAAACGAAAACTTTGGACCGAAGAAAGAACATAAACTCTTAGCGAAAGATTGAAGAAAAATTAAGAAAGTTAAGAAAAATTCAATATAATTGGTTTAAAAATTAGCAAAATTAAACAAAACAATAAGATTGAGAGTTCTTCGCATAATGTCGATTGTTCTTATTCGCGAGAAAGAAGAAATAAACTTTATTTCTTGTGGAGATTGAAAGCTGTCCTCGTCGCCCTTGTTAGAACTTATACCTTTGCTCACAGAACTCTACAAAAATATCGTTCTTTGTTACGAGTAATATTAGAAATGCCCTTCTGATTATTTTCGGCAAATCTATCTCATTTGCCTTGCATGCGTGTAACTTTGGAAGGCAACCCTATTATGTACGAGTCAGGAGAAATATAATGACGCACGTCAAGGCTAAAGTTATTTTAGGTAATAAGAGGTGCCCTTCAGAGAATGTCAGAAAATAAACGTTCATTAAAAGTTAAATTTATCTCACATATGTTAAAATATATTTCTTTTGGAAAATTGGTGTATTAAAGGACAGAAGTTTTCTACTCGGAAGAAATGCAATAATCACCACTAAGAAAATAATCTAAAGAAAGGTTTGATTGATTAACATAACTAGATTAATTTGAACAACTATTCATCTCAGTGTTGTTTTTCTTTGAAAGTTTGCTATTAAGTGATACCTGGTTGTCAATTTTCAGTATTTTGAGTACAAAGAATTTTGACTCTTTCTTTGGAGGCAAACATTAATAGTTTTGGTTATCCTCTTTAATAACATACTACTGATCTGATTGATTAATTGATTGTTAGTGATTCCGGGCACGTAACCTATTGCGGCCATTAGTCCCGTAAATGTACTGCATGTTTTCTTCGAGAGAGAGAGAGAGAGAGAGAGAGCGAAGAGAGGGAGAGAAAGAGAGAGAGAGAAAGAGAGAGAGAGATTTTTTGCAGCGGTCTTTCCCCCGGTGGTCTTTCCCCAGCTGAATGACGAGATCCGGCGCCGACTTACCGCCACCTAGCGGAGTTGTCCCCAACCACCAGCGAGGCACTGCCGCAGCCGGCACAAGCGCCAAGCTCCACACCGGTCTCCCGGCACGTGTGGTAGGGTATTGCGTGTAAGTGTAAAGGGTGAGGATAGGACAAGGAAGAGGTAGGTAAGATCGCGCGCGGTTTGTGGTCCGTTTGTTAGAAAGCTATTCCGGCAATCGCCTGACATTGATCGAAGGAACCACGTTAAACTACGATCACAGCAGCCGGCTGCTAGAATTCTCCTCCAGTCAGCGATTGAATTCGACCTAGCTGACAAGCTAGTTCCGAAAATCCTGCTACCGACGGGACTCGAAACTAGGACCTTTCGGTCAGAGGTCCCGGTCAGAAAGACATCAGTTCATGTCTTGAGCCATCTCTTCCGGTTCTACTGAACTGATTTCTTGAATTTATCCTTGTGACTGATTACACCATTTAACGTCATGTTGGCTGGTGATCTATGAAAAATGAATTAGAAAGGTAGCCATAAAAATATATCAGTGAATCGTCTTAATGAAAAAAAGAGATATCGAAAGAGTCACTAGGAACTATCATGCTTTGCCTAGGAATGCAGGGGTACACGTGGGCGTAGACCGGATTTTAATCGGAGGAAGAGAAATAAGATTTATTGTCAATTTAGCACAAGTGATATAATATAGGAATTGCAATAATATTGCAACCATTAAATGAATGATATATGTATAAATGACATATAATTAAATTATATTTGAATTTATAAAATGCATAAATAATTAACTAGTGCTGATAAAGTATTGATTTAAGACTTAGAAGATGGCAGTTTTGAGTGTAGTTCCACTTGCAGAACTACTTGGGGCGAAAGATAGTCATCTCATATCATAATAATATTACTTTGCAAAATTAATTTGATCTTCTTTAGATAAAGCAATAATTCGAAATGTTCGCTCATAAAATATTGTAATCTTGATAACTAAAAGGCAGGTATCAAGAAACTTCTTTTTGTCCCTTAAAATTTCTCCGACATCTGTCAGCAAGGCTAAAACGCTGTCCTTGAGCCATCCTAGAGGCTACTAAAACGTGTTCAATAATAAATATTGTACTAATTTCATTTGTCAGCACAGCATTCCGTTTAATGCTAAATTCAATTTTTAAAATAAATTCTAACATAATGTAACTTGTTACTTTCCAGGAGCTTGTAGCCCCGGGATTTCATGTGAAACTTCTCTTCATGTATTTATAAGTCATAATGAAACTCCTCTTTATTGTTTCTCCCACCTTCATTTTTGCTACTTTTCATGATGATTTTCTAGATACATATATAATCCTAACCGAATGAAATTGTGTTCTAAATGTTTCACTGACGTATGCTATTAATTACTTTTATTCATGTTTAATCATGCCGCCGTGACCATAGATTTAACGTCGGCATTAATGGGATTGAGTATCCCACTGACGAGAACTCCCGCTCACAGAGGCCCACAGGGGTCACTGGCTTCAGCTAGCGACGACCGGGGCTTTACTGCTCATTCAGCAATTCTACCTGTCTAATTTTGAACGTTTCCGGGAAAAGCGTTCGTAAGCCGGATGGGCACTTGGGCCTTCCACTTACCTGGGTGCGCCCCCTTCCCCCCCCCCCCCCCTCGACGCATGAGTGGAGTCGGCATCGGCACAAAAGCTCCCCTAGAGGGCGCCCCACCCCTGCTCCCAGTGGTGGCGGGGGGAAGGCAGGTCCCGCCGGAGAGGAGCCGAATTCATTTGTCGGTCCTTGAAATGCAGCCCATTCGCAATGGAACCCCGGTTCATGGAGCTTGGGCAGTGGAAATTAATAGTCTATTTAGTAGGAAATGTTTTGCCAACGTTTCGGAAAATATATTTCTATCATCAGAACTACATGATAAAAGAACACACAATAACAACGTGTTAATTAACCATGAAAGCCTACCTGTTTCATACAATTACAGTAAAAACATTGGAGTAAATAATGAAATATAATAGCAATACCTTCCAACCACAGTAAATAAATAAATAAATAAATAAAAACAAGAAACTGGAGCTACATTATTTTTCAGGTGGTAAACCACATGTGATATAAGAGACATGTCCCTTGCGTGTATGCAAAAGAACATCTCACCACTACATTCCATGTTTGCTAATGGTAAAGTGTTATGAGGAGCGGGGCAAATTGTTTTTCTTGAAATTGTACATTGGAGCCCTGGTGATAGACATATATTTTCCGAAATATTGGCAAACACCTAATCATAAATTTATTTCCACTGACCAAGCCTCCTGAACCAGCCTTCTTTCTATTTACGCTCGTAGGGGTTCCCCACGTTTTAAATAGAGTTTCAGTGCCACGCGCACGGTAGCGACGTTATGCAGCAACACTCACGACGGCGCGGTTCTACGGGCAGGGAAACGACGGAACTTTCCCCCCCCCCCTCCCCCCTAAAATTGTTCATTAACTATTAATTTTATCCTGTCACGAAACTTTCAAGCAAAAATATTTTTGGATAATCATTGAAACGAATAAAATCGTATCGCAGCACCAGCTGACCGTTGCCTGCGACATTTTACAAAATCTGCAATGACACATTCGACCAAAATATTTTTAATTTCTTCTCTCAAAATTTGTCTCTGGATCCCCACTCACACGACAGACCTTGAAGTCATAATGTTCTACCAGCCATAAGACACGACCTTCATAAATATACCTTCGTACCTCAATACCTTCATAAATAGTGCACGCCTGTAAAATCTCTACCGTCACTTTACAAGCGACAAAATGGCCGCCTGTAAAGAGGAAATGTTGAGTTTTTCCAATTCTCATAAACTGGTGAGGCAGTGTCATTAATCCTTACCAACACACACAACTCTGGCAAGAATTAATGAAAAATGTTAGAAAGGTGGCAGGTAAAAATGTTGGAAATGATACGCAAAAAGATGTTGAAATCATATCATCGTATTTCGTTCGGCCAAAATGTTAAGCACGAAAGCTGTTATTATATATTCCGTGCTACATTCTCAAAAAAAGCCGTTTCAAAATTAATCACGCAGGGCCAGCAAATTTAAAACTTTTCACATAATGGAGATTTTTTCCCCCCTTGACCTGTGCCGTGGTTCAAAAGTTTCACTAATAACCTCTGATATATTATGCAACTTCTTTGTTCAACGTTTCAAAAGCTTATTTTCATGTAACGAATAACACAATATCGCATTTGCTAAAGCCCATCGGAATGATGTTCGTTACAACCATATAACGTCGTTAGTAAGGTGATCGATAGTCAAAGGGCGTCTCCTTCCGCGTGGCGCTGCGTCTCCCCACAATCGTGCACCGTCGCAAGATCCAAAGTACGTTAGAAACAAATTAATGTGATTTGAAAGAGCATAAATTGCCATTTATTATCATTAGGAGCGGATTTTAATGAAATGTCAATTTTTCTTTACACTTTAGAAAAATGCCGTTTGGTTTAGAAATTCACTTTATGTTATGAAAAAAAGGAAAGGAATCTCTTTTATACGTAATTTTTTTTCATTTTTCGTCGTCTTCGACTAATAAGTCCTTTTTTGCCTTTTTACGTCATTTTTAATGCATTTTTCGCTGGTTCCATTAATTTTAATATAATGTTAAAGCTACTTGCTTCAAAATGTTTTGTGTATGTAATAGAAGGTGTGTATGTAATGCAATTTAGAAATTTTATTGTTTTCCTTGTTTTAACTAATGTGTGAAACTTCTTAAAACAACTTGTATGAACCCTGACGTTACATTTGCTGCATTTTTTGTTGTTGTTGTGTTCTTGTGACATTCTGCGCTTCTATCTGTGTAGTGCTGGAAACGGAAAAATGATCCTCTTCACCCAGTCGTACAGCATCTGGCATCGGCTTCCTTTTAGACTATGGTATTCTGCCCAGAGGATATCTTTGGTGTACTTCCCGATATATGTCTGAAAAACAGACCTGATAAGTCCCAGAATATATATTGACGTTTTCTCTTTGCCACATGGAGTTATTCTGTAAAGTTGCTAAGCATTGTTCATAGACGCGTTAAGGAGATTCATCAGGAACTGTCAATACCATTCTTTCATTCGCATTGCAACTGTAAGCTGCCAGATTCTTATGGAACCGATCCACGCAACCCATGCAAGTGTTGCACTCCTGCACGTACGCCGGTTGAGTAATTTCTATTTGTTTTCTCTCTGCTTAGCTCCACCGTCATGCTTGCCCTAATGGCAGCACATCACTTCTCTTTGATGCGATGGTTATGATATTATTGTCTTTATATCTGACAATAGTACCACTGTTTATATCTGTAATCTGATCATAGAAACCACGTTCCATTTTTTTTCATTTCCTTGCCGTCTGATACAGGAGCAATTTCTATTTTCTTGCTACTAATAGTGCCTGTGCCATCGCGTATTTGTTCAAATAACTTTTCAAGAAGACGCACTGAAGTGACAAAAATATCTATGTAAATGCTGTAATCGGAATCCTTTGGCAGTTTCTTTACAAGGTTTAGAACAACAGATCCTCCGACACTCACTTCTGGGTCCGTGTTTCCTGTATTTGCACCTTGGTACGGTTCTTCTGCAATAATGTAGCCCAGACGAGAACATAAATCCCACACTTTGAAACCGAAGCTGATGGGTTAACCATGTATGTGCTGTTTGGTTCCGGGGTGCCCGTAGTATGGAACCACAGGTACATCCATACATTCATACGCTAAGAATTTTAGCTAACGTTCATTCATCATTTTCCACAAAGGCCGAATCTTGGCAAATTTCTCATCGGGGTCGAGATACTGATTGTCACATACATGCAAGTATATCAAAATCTCTTCGAATCGATTTCTCAAATCGATTTCTCGACATGGCCTGTGCTACATCAGGATGATATATATCTGCATTGTTGTCCTAGTACATTCTGTACCTAGAATAACAGCAATACCCACTTAGCAATAAGATTCCAAAGAAAAGTCTAATTTCTCCTATAGTTATATAAAATATTTTGCCATCGTAGAAATGCTCAAAAATTTGTTCAGGTGTGAAATCATTATTCATAAAGTGACCAACCGTTCTCTTTTAGACAGGACCGACCTTTCTTTGTTGGTTCTGCCCTTCCTCGAAAAGTTTCTTCCTACGTGTCCTCCTTTCTCGATATTTTACAACGAATCTAGTAATCTCTGAATTAACAGATGCCGCGCCAAACTGTTAAGTGAGAAATCATGATTGAAAGTTGATACTCTGCAGCACTTACCATAAAATTCAATGTGATGGCCATTTCTTGCTCCGAAATTTCTAATATATTGTTAGAAAAGTATAAATTGACAAAACATATTAGTTCAATTGAAAAATATCCGTTTAATTAAATAATTAAAATGGATGCTTAATTAGCGTATTTATGTTTGAATTAATATATTTTTTTTATTTACGTGGTACTTTTTTCTTATATTGTCTTCCTTTTCATATTAAGAAAATTGATAAAATTATTTAGGTACTCTGGTCTGGTTCATGTACGCTCATGTTTGCGAATTATGTGACTTATCTCCCACATCCTCTGAGCGACTCGAATATTTTTAAATTTCTTTGGTTTCGGTATGCGAGACGTTTCGTTACATTTATTTTCACACGCATCGGTATTACCCTCTGTTACAAATGCATATGTTATCGTTTTAGTGAATCCTAGAATCAATCTTCCATGCCATTAACAATCTCCGTATGTGAGCTTCTGCCCCGGCGCCAAGTTGATTTCCATTCAAGTTATTTATTGTGGCAACATCACACTCTTCATCGACACCAACTCCATCACCGAGTTGAGGATTATCGGGAGGTTCTATGTAAATTTGAGCATCAATGAGATCGTCATGTGATTCAATCAACACAGTTATTTCATCCACAGTTAACCTACGAAATAAAATAGGAATTACGTAGCAAGAGCAAACTAAAAATATGCCAAATTATTCTCCCAAAAGCATTGCTCTTCAACGAAAAAGAGTTTGAAAACATTCAGGAGTACGAAAAATACCCCTACTGACCAATGCCCACTATCCCATTTTGAGGGAGGTCAATTTCAAAGATATGTGACATAGAAATATAACCAAAAAATGGACAGAGCAATATAAAACATTACAAGTGATATATTGAGTAGAAAATAATAGCAAAGTTACGAAGATTGAGACAAAAACAAAAGAAAAGCAGCTTATATCTCGACCATGTTGAGAATGATGTTTACAGGAGTGCGCCACTGTTTTTGTTTACACCAGAAACGATAGAGACGGAGATACGTACAAAGATACTCAACTCAAATTCAAAAAGGGGCCGTGCCAAACTGTTTCGGGAGAAAAAGAACGATTCTGTCGCAAATCTAATCTTTCCAATGTATATTTTAATTGTATTTGGACATGTCTGCACCTCGTATTGGAATAAATCAAAGTTTACTTTTCTCTACAGAATGAATCGAAATGTTTCTTTCGAAAAGCAGCAAATATGTACTGTAACATTGGCAAAAATCGTCTAATTTTAATTAAGCAGTTTCTCAGAATACCAAATAACATTTTTTGTATGTAAGAAGCAACTACCACCTTAATGAAGAAAATTGTACATTCTTATGACAGTGAAGTGTTGGTACTTTATTGCATACCTTACAAATCGCATAAACTCTGCTTAAAAAATAAATAAAGAAGAATACAAAATGTTTAAATTCAACAAAAAAGTAATACAAATTCGATATAAAAAAAATTGTCACAAGCGTTATGTAATTATTAGAGGGGGTGAAAACGCGCGTTTCTGATGCGTTCCGGGGGGGGAGGAGAGGGAGTATTCAAAATACTGCAAATTTGCATTACGTAATTTATGGACGACCCTAATTAATTACGCACTCCACTGAATGCGCCGTGTCTTCGGCGCAGTTTCGACAGCCACATTGAGGTAGGGCAAGACACTAGCGCAGCAATATGTTCTATAGAGATCAGTATAGTACTTCTTGCAAGAGAGTTCTTTCTGGCGTAAAAATTTAGCAGTTATCTTAACTGGTGATAAAGGAAGTTAAATTAATCTAATAATTAGTATCTTCATGCAACATATTTTGGTTGCATGAATATACTAATTATTAGATTAATTTAACTTCCTTAATCACCAGTTGAGATAACTGC